ATGTTCAACATTCCCAGGTGTTCTGCTTGTTGCAGGCCTTCCAGAAAGAGGATCACTTTCAACAGATTCTCAACCACCTTTGAAGCATTTGTGCCACACTTTTATTTGTGCTGCACTCACTGCATCATCCCAGACACCTTCTGAATTACCCAAATAGTTTCTGCAGAGTAATATCCAAGCTTAACGCAAAATTTGATGCAGATTCATTGCTGTACTAGCTCAGTCATTTTGAATGCAACAGCCACACAGTGCACATGCTCACTCAAGATGCCTACCACCCTCACTGATTAGTAAAGTGAAGTTATTATTCACACACGCGCATTCCAGTCCACTCTCCTTGGCTACCAGGTTACAAAGATGTCATGCAAACCATTCTCATTATATTAACAACGGCTGGATTTTTTCTGGACAGACCTTGTATTTCCCAGATTGCTTTCCCTCTCCTGTGACTGGTTCAGGTTAATCCTGGGCAGAGGAATAGGTCAGAATATAAGAAGGTATTAATGATCTCTCTGGCAACCATTTATTGATATATAAAATGAGCTGATGCCTTGCACTTCTGAAACTATGACTTTTTAAAAATTCTCTTATAATTTCAAGCCCCTTTATCCTTCATCTGCTGGACATATTCTAAGTTAATTCTCACCTTCATGCTTCGGTTATTCTCCCTACATGCCAACAGTCCCTCTCACCTAACTGCCAATCACAAAATCTTCTCGTGTTTAAGGTTCAGCTCAAGTCCAGGCTCCTTCTTGGGAGTTTTCATAAATCTCTTCAATACCTATGATCTTTTCCTTTCTTGAATCCCTATATAATTTGTATCATCCAATGTTATCTGGCATTAGGATGTATGTTGTCTTATTACCCAGTCATTGAAAATAGTTACTACTAGGTGAGAGCTTCTCTATGGCACAAAAACCATGAGCCTTATAAAAATCCAAAGTTATGGTACAAGCATAACTGGTTATCTTCTTGCATTTCTTTTTCTATGTTAAATTACACAATCGTCACACTTCATTTTTATATGAAAATATTCTGGAGTATTAGTGCAATAAGATCTATAAATTCTTCTAGGGTAACAATGTTTTCTAAACACTGCTTCAAAACTGCCAACAAATTTCAGGAACTGCTAACATTTGGATAATAAATGTTAAAATCTATGACAAACTCATCTTTTTTTAAAAATATATTTTATTATGCTGTTACAATTGTCCCAGTTTTTTCTCTCCTTTATTCCCCTCCACTCTGCTATGCTCACTCTCCTGCATTCCCCTTCCCTTAGTTCATATCCATGGGCTTTACATATAAAGTCTTTGGCTTCTCCATTTCCTATACTATTCTTAATCCTCCCCTGTTGATTTTGTGCCAACCAATTATGCTTCTTATTCCCTGTTCCATTTCCCCCTATTCTCCCCCTCTCTCTCCCCACTGATAACTTTCCATGTGATCTCCATTTCTGTGATTCTGTTCCTCTTCTGTTTGCTTAGTTTTTCTTTTTGTCTTTTAGATTCAGTTGTTGATAGTGACTTTGTTGTCATTTTAATGTTCATTAAATCCACTCTGTCTTTGGGCTAAATCCAGGACGGGAAGCAATGCTGCTGCCTTGTGCCCTTCTGGATAGTTTTTTACAATTGCCTCTATTCTCTTATAGTTTTCTGGCGTGAAATCAAATGGAGTAGCTGGGTTATTCTTAGGAGTATCTCTGTGCACAATGTTAGAAGTTCCTTTAACATTTCATATAATAAGGGCTTGGTGATGACGAACTCCTTTAACTTCACCTTCTCTGGGACACACTTTATCTGCCCTTGCATTCTAAATGATAGCTTTGCTGGATAGAGTAATCTTGGATGTCGGTCCTTGCCTTTCATGACTTTGAATACCTTTTTCCAGCCCCTTGCCTGTAAGGTTTCTTTGGAAAAATCAGCTGACAGTCTTATGGGCACTCCTTTGTACGTAACTCTCCTTTCTTCTTGCTGCTTTTAAGATTATCTCCTTATCTTTAAACTTGGGTAACTCAATTATGATGTGCCTTGGTGTGTTTCTTCTTAGATGCAATTTCTTTGGGACTCTGAGCCTCATGGACTCCTGGAAATCTATTTCCTTTGCCAGATTGGGGAAGTTTTCCTTCATTATTTGTTCAAGTAAGTTTTCAATTTTTTTATTTGAAATTTGAATTTTTATTTCACATTAATCTAGTATTATTGATAAAAATGACCTAGAAGTTGAAAATAAGGGACTGGAGGTACTATTAACTAGGTTATGGTATAATATCTTCATAGTTAGCCATAGATAGCAGAAAATTTTAAAATGGAGCTCTGACATTTTGACATGGTACTTACAGAGCTGCATGTTGCTAGGTTACCACCAAGGTGTACACAGGTTGAAATGAACAAATATTAAAACATTTATGTATAGGAAATTTATATTTTATTTCTCCAGTGACATACTTACAATTGAATATAAATCAAAGGCCTGCTTGCACACCAAAGCCGGGTCCTTTGGGTGGCTCAGTCAAAGAGGTGCGACCCCTCAGCTAGATCACAAGAGAAGCGTCCACTCCTTGGCCCAGGTTTTGGAGTTTTGTCAGCTTTGACCTCATCCATAATTTCTTCAATATCCTTAGGTGTTAAATCTTCATAGTAGTCGTCATTTATTTGAACCATTGGTGCATTTACACAGGCCCCTAAACAATCCACCTCTATAACAGTGAAGAGTTTGTCAGGTGTAGTCTCCCCAACCTTCATTCCAAGCTTTTCCTGAATGGCCTCTGGTATGCTTGTCAGAGTTTCACGGCATTCAAGATGTAGTAGTGCAGATCTGAATGTGATACTTTCCAACTGGCTTTCCATTATACATTGTATAAAAAGTTGCTACTTCATAGACTCTCATTGGAATTACTTGGAAAACTGCAACCTTGTTCATAGCAGAGATGGGCAGCCATCCACTCTGTCTTCTGGCTAAATCCAGGACGGGAAGCAATGCTGCTGCTTTATGCCCTTCTGGATAGTTTTTTTATAATTGCCTCTATTATCTTATAGTTTTCTGGCGTGAAATCAAATGGAGTAACTAGGTTATTCTCAGGAGTATCTCTGTGCACAAATAAGGTTCCTCTGGCTCCATTTTGCACAGCTGTCTTATGCAAATGCATTGTATGCCTTCCCCCTGGGTGATGAGGCCAGCTGCCTGGACCCGGAGTACTGCAGAGAACATGGCAGGCCAGTTTTCAGTTTCTTGCTCTTCCTCTTCTCCTCCTGGCACCCCAATGATTCGGATGTTTCAACATTTAAAGTTGTCCCAGAGGTTCCTCAGCCTCTCAAATTTTTGATTTCTTGGTTCTTTATTCTGTTCTGGCTGGATGTTTATTTCTTCCTTCCTTTTGTTCGATATCGCTGATTTGAGTTCCGGTTTCCTTCCCTTCACTGTTGGTTCCCTGTATATTTTCCTTCATTTCACTTTGCGTAGGCTTCATTTCTTCCTTCATTTTGTGACCAAACTCAATCAATTAGGTGAGCATCTTGATTACCAGTGTTTTGAACTCTGCATCTGATAGGCTTTATATCTCCTCATCACTGAGTTCCTTTCCTGGAGTTTTGATCTGTTCTTTCATTTGGGTCTTATTGCTTTGTCTCGGTGAACCTGTGATGTTGTAAGGGGCGGAGCCTTAGGTATTCACCAGGATGGGGCAACCCACTTCACTGTTATGGCACTGTCTGTGGGGGATGGGTCAGAGATGGAACAATGCTTAGTTCTCGCCCCAATTTCTGTCACTTTCCTAGCTTCCCACAAGCGGATTGTACCCTTTTTCAGGCCCTCGTGTCCATGTGGGTGCGTTTGTGTACGTTCTAGGACCCATGAGCCTCTCCAATGGACTCTCCTGTGAGACTGGGAGTTCCTCCTGTCACCACAACCCCCACAGAATTTTACAGCCAGAGGTTTTGAGTCTTTAGTTTCCCACGCTGAAACCCTGGGTTTCAGTCTATCTGGCTCCCCAGTTTTAAAACCTGGTTTATTCACATGTGAGTGTGAGATTGCCCAGTCAGCCAGCCCCCACCTCTCTTGCATGGTCCACTGCTTTGCTGCGCGGCCTCTCTGCACCAGCTGCCCATCTCCACCCCTCCTACTTGGTCTGGATGAATGTTTCTTTAACCCTTGGTTGTAGGACTTCCATGCAATTTGATTTTCTGGCAGTTCTGGTTCGTTCTGATTTTTAAATTGGTTGTTATCCTTCTTTTGGTTGTGCGAGGAAGCGATGCATTTCTCCCTATGCCTTCATCTGGCCAGAACTCATCTTTCCTTTACGAACCATTTTCCTTTTCCAACTGGTTTGTTTTGTTAACAAATTATCATTTTCCCAAATAGCTAGGTGCTAAGTCTTGATATCTTTCTCTATTTCCCTTCTTCACCTTCTATGTCCAGTTATCATATTTTCCTGATTATTCTTTTCTATTCGATTTGTAAAAATCTTATCACCTTGGCCTTTTTCCTTAACAACAACAACAAAAATCTCCATTAGCTTCCTATAGCTTGCAAGTATTTGCTCAAACCTTTTTTTTTTCCTTATCAAAAGTATTTATTCTTAGGGAACATAATTTTAAGATCCAAAATTACTTGTTTTTCAAAGAATACTTACATCCAAGACTCTGTAAATGGAATCAGAAGCAGGAAAAGGACAAAAAAAAATCATAAAGAGAAACAATTTAGTTCCATTTTAGATGAAGCAGATTTAAAAATAAGATAGTAAGTCCACGAAAATTTTCTGGGAGAACAAAACTTCCTTCTTGCAAACAGTGAAGCAGTCAAATGAATGTGAAAAAAAATCTCTTTCAATTATGCCCAAGTTTGAGTGCTCTATTGGTTTCACACTGTATTTCAATGTAGGAACACAGCAAATGTCCATGATAATTCTGGGGGGGAAGAAGTCTTTGTTTTATAAAATACAGAGGAAGTCAAATGCCTTAGGAGAAATTTTGGCCCCAAAATGGTCTAGAGTCTGGAAGAAATCATTCAGCTGCTTCCACTGTTGTTGTGGAGACAGGTTTCACGTAGTATGGACCTTCACTCAGATAAGTTCTGAGCCTCAAATAATTTGGGTTCCCAAAGATTTCTGCAACTGTCTTAGAATTGGCTAGTGCTTTCACCAGTTCATATTTGTCATCCTTTGAAGCTTTGTCATGCTCCACGGACCAGTCCATCACATACTCTACAAAACCAGGACTGTTAAACATAAGTTTCTGAGCCCAGGGTTGGTTTGCAATGGTCGTGAACACTTTTAAAGCAGCACAGTGCAGTTCAGGAAAGGGTTGATTACTCATGCCACGAAAGAGCTCCAGTGGGTACCGAGCTAAGGAAGAAAATCAGGATTCTGTCATCCTCAGGAGGTCATCGGTCTGCTGCTCAGGTGGTAAATAAAGAAGAGATGAAATTGCATCCAAACACCTAAGTCTGAGCTCTGTTGAGGCATCTTTGCTTGATATCCTATTCTCATGAGTAAGCCTTCAAATCGAGTTCCTGTCTTCTGCAAAACCTGTTTTCCTTCAACATTGGATCCCAGGATTCCAACTGTGTCTACTGCTACGCCAATCATGGTGAGGTCCTGACTTTCTGTCATTTCAAAGACTTTTTCCACAAAAACAGGATAACGCTCACAGATCTTTTGAGGACTATCCATGATAGCCAGGTTTCCAAAAAACTTCACAAATCCTGGCAAGTAGAAGCTAGAGAAACGGTCAGAATCTGCCCCAACAATTGTATTAGAAATCTGATCAATTACTCCTTCTTGAGCAAGGTACTGCCGTCCATGATGAGTATATGCCAGTGATGTCACCATTTTTACACAGGTGGCTCTGACCAGCACATCCTCACCAGTCAGTTCTCTGAGGAGCTGGGTCACCAATCCACTGGTGGTACAGTAGTTTAAAGATTCTGGTGACACAGATGAAATCCCCACAATTAGCTCATAGACCCTATATCAAACAATATCATTTGTTTTCATTACAGTTTTCAAGTCATCCAGCAGACTGCTTTCAAATAAAGCCTCCAGTTCAGCTTGGGTCAATAATATTCTTGACAGGGATTTAATGGCTGCTTTAGCTACAAATAGATTCTCTCCACCAATAAAATAAACAATTGGTTTTAGTAATTCAGGATTACTTAGAATCTCAGTAACAGCATCAGAATTTTCGACAATTCTTCCAACCTGGGATAGAGTGAGTATTTTTACAGAGTCATTGGGGTGGGTCAGTCCCTTCTGCGGATCAATCCTGAGGTTCCAGGCCAAGTGAATTGGCTCTACAGCTTGGAGCAATCTCTCCAGAATGGATACACACAAAGTAGTCTGTTCCCGTTGGTTCCCATTGAGCAGGGAGAAAAGTGGGCCAAGGTGCAGTTCCACTGCGTGCTCACGCAGATGGCTGAGCGGCACGGCCTGCAGCACCAACTGAAGCTCGCACAGCTCCTCCAGCGGTGCCTCCAGCCACGACATCTCCCCCAACAGAGTCAGCACCTGGGCGGCCATCATCCCCCGCTCCAGCTCAGGGTTTTCTGCTCAAATCTTTAAGCCTAGCCATAAGGGTCCCCGTATCCAAATGTGTTGACCATCAAAAATGAATCTCGCCTTCCTACAGCTCCCAGAATATCTCAAGCTCATTCCTAATGTAAGTCGTTGCTCTTCTCATACTTCCCATCTAACTACTTGTATCATATACATCCCAGAAAGATGCAATTCCGGTACTATCTCTTCTTCAATGCCTTTTTTATGACCATGACAATGACAATGTCCTCTGAAGTACCATGTTTACTTTCTGTAAAACTTACTTAGACAATTAAACCTCTTCACATTTGCTCTAGCCAAATAAACCTTATGGCACTCTGGACTTCCTCTCTCTCTCACACACCCACACTCCACATCCAATCCATCAACAAATCTTATCAATTCTACATTTGACATATAATCAGAATCTAATCATTTTCACTACATTCACTGCTACCCTGGTCAAAGCTGCCATCAATTTTAGCCTGGGTTGCTACAACAGACTCCGTTTTCTCCCATGACCACCTGAAGTCTACTTTAAATGTATTGTCCAAAAAAAGCCTGGAAAACACAAGGTAACTAATGTTACTTCTTTCTTCAAAATGTTCCTTACTCAGAGTAAAAACCAACGTTCATTCAATAGCCCACTAGGTCTTATAAATAAGAACCCCTAATGTTTCTTGAATCATTTTCTACATATCTTCCCTTTATTCATTTCATTCCAGATTTACCACCCTCTTTGATGTCTCTCAAACAGGCTCCATACTCTGTAGTTACTCTCCCCTTTTCATGGAATTATTTGCTCTTCTCTTTTGATATCTGCATGGTTTACTTCAAGTACTCCTTTCTCAATATGGCCCCTTCTTTTACCACATTATTTAAAAGAGCCCTTCTTCCATATTCCTATTCTTTGCTTAATTTTTTCCCATAGCATTTACCACCAGCTAACTTAATGTGTTTTACATTTATTTAATATGTTTCACCCCAAACAGAATGCGAGATCTACAAGGCACAAAGTTTTCCCTCTTTGTTGACTGTTATATCCCCACTACTTGGGAAAGTACCTGGAACATAAGAGATACTCAATATTACTGACTTATATTAGGATTTAAAGCATTTCAGTGAGAGGTTCCTCCAAGGTCTTATGAGACAATTTATGTCAAAGTGCCCATTCTTACCAGATCTTTAGCAAATATTTATTGAATCTGGATTGTCTGCTAGACTGTAGGTTCTATGAGCCCTAGAATAAACTATAAAGTTTAGAGAAATCTTCCACTTAATTCAACATGTCCATTATCTGCTCCTTTTACTTACCAGCAGCACAAACAGGAAGTGAATCTGGGTTAAAATCCCGGCTGTTCTGAAATAAGTTTCTTGATACTCTTTTTCTACTGAAACACAAATCATCATTGACTGGCATTCCTTGGGAGGGCTTTAATTTTGAAGATGGAATGAAATCATATGCTGAAAACTACAGAAAGAGAATAGTGAGTGAGAAAATTTGTGTTAAGCCTGTAATAAATGAGACAGAAAAATTTGGACCTGATTACAAAATTCAGATTAAAAGAAAAAATTAAATTTATCAAATATACAATGATACAAATAAACATGTATATATTGTATGGTATAACAACTGTATTTTTCATTGTTTGACAGAAAACCAAATTGTTTCCTCTTTCTTACTACTTCTCCCCAAATCTTTTCTGTATCTTACCTTCCTACATTACACATCTGGCAGCTTAGAAGGAAAGAAGAGCAATAACAGAAAGAATGAAATGACACCTTGAACAGAGAAAATAACATTTATGATTCGGCAGCATAGCCCATAACATTATGCCATCTGTGTTTCAGCATTAGATAATAAGTGACAACTGAAGGTCACTCCATCAGCAACCATCCTATTCAACTATTATTACTGAGGCAAGTTTATTATTCATCATCTGTAGCCCAAATGTTAATGTACACATGGTCATGGCTCCCTTAAAATATAGGGTGGAGCAAAAGGAGGTTTACAGTTGTTAGGATGTGAAACACAAAGTTTATTCTTTAAAACAAAAATTTTTTAAATTTATTGATTCTTTTTTTCAGAAAGAGAGGAAGGGGTAGAGCAGGGTAGGAAAGGGAAGGAAGGAGTTGGAAAGGGAGGGAGGGAGGGCAGGAGGGAAAGAGAAATGTCAATTTTGTTGTTCCCCTTATTTTATATATTCATTGCTTGATTTTTACATGTTTCCTGATCGGGATCAAACCCGCGACCTTGGCCTATTGGGACAATGCTCTAATCAACTGAGCTAACCGGCCAGGGCTGGAGTTTTTATTCTTATGTTCTTATTTATTACTGTATTATTTTTGTATTAACAACTTTAAACCTACTTTTGCCCCACCCTGTATTTTCTTATGATAGGCCTTTTAATTAAAACATCATATATAACACTTTATATATGTCTAGTGCTTTATAGTTTCTGATTCCCTTTTCACATACCCTCTTTGATCCTTAAGGTACAAAAATGTCAGGATAGAATTTTGAGGTTCTACCTAATTATAGTTAAAGAACTAAATGAGAGCATGATTCAAATGTTCAGAATTCTTCACCAAAGGCAACTTCAATTTTTCTGGATCACTTCACATTCGACAGGACTATAAAACATTTTAAAAATTGGCCCTGGCTGGTGTGGCTCAGTGAGTTGAGTGCTGGCCTGCGAAACAAGAGTTGCTGGTTCAATTCCCAGTCAGGACACATGCCTGAGTTGAGGGCCAGGTCCCCAGCTGGGGGCACACAAGAGGCAATCACACACTGATGTTTTTCTCCTTCTCTTTCTCCCTTCCTTGCCTGCTCTCTAAAAATAAATAAATTATAAAATAAAAATCGAATGAACAGACAAGAAATTATACTCACTGTCTATGTATTTACTTGGAGTTTACAGACACAATCAGATATAATCATATCTAGACATGGATTTGATTAGATTTGAACTATAAGCCTTCTCTGTAATGCCTCTTCACAAACTCTTCCAATTATCAAATAGCATTAAAGTACAATAAAATTAAAGCAATGTCTGTTTGAAAACTTTTTAGCTACTTGTCAATTAAAAAAGAAGTTTATAAATACACCTTAGGGAACTTTTTACTCCTCATTATCTTGTGAAAAACCTGTTAACTCCTTCAAAAATTAACTCAGAAAATTCCAACAAGAATACCTCAGAAAAAAAGGCCTGACTTTACTTCCTCAAAATATAGTAATTTCTATGACTGATTATATAGTAGTCAGTATTAAAAAGACACAGTGGAATAAAAAGGAAACCAATCACAGTCAATTTCTGATTAGATACATTTAAAGACATAATCAGTAAAAATAGTAATCCAGAAAAAATCTTCAGTATGGAATATATTTTATATCAGATTTATTCTGTAATTAATTTCTGCTTACAGAACAGAATATTTGTATGTATATGCCAGGTACAACAACTAGTGGTGGTGATGGTGATAAAGGGGGCAGTGATAGGAATGGAAAAAATACGTGTATGAATGTGGAATTTTAAAAAATCTAGGAGATGTCAGTCAGGGGTTAAGTTTTGCTATAGAAAATTCTGCAAATATTTAAAAACAAATTATAGGACACACTACTATTAACATGACAGGCCCTTTTTGGTCTCATTTAAAATTAAGTCAAATGATTTTATCAGGATAAGCTTTGATGGAATTAAACAATGAATAAAGGGAAAGGGAAATAAGAATAAAAGAGAAAAGTACATAGTTATAAGTTAAATTTACAAAATGTGAAGCAGTCTGTTTAGAGCACCTCAGGAACATGGTACTGAGTTTTTGGTCTTTGAAGTTAATATCTAAAATTTTAATTTGTTTCCTTAGAGATATAGTAAATGAAGCATTATAAAAGGTAAGTTTCACACTTAATATTAATAATGACTTCCAATTCAGTCTTATCTACAATTTTAATCTTGCATTTGATTCCTTATATATTTATCATACAAAGATTCTCTGACATAAAATGCTTTTTATTTCAGTTTTGACAAAGGGTGTACAAACACAAAAGTAGTTTAATTCTATCTTGGTATAGTAGCAAATTATCAGAAAAAGGTCTTTCAATAGTTAATGCTCTCAGAATCACCTACATTCTTTCATTTACTGAACTTGTACTAAATTTAATCCTGATCTCCAGTTTTTGGAGCCTTTCATCTTCTCCCAGTTCTTTCTGGTTTTACCTTGACTCCAACCTTGTCCCTTAATGGTGATCATTAAGTTTATTCCAATTACCCAAAGTCTCCTTCTGGAGCACCTTTAGTGCTTTTTCAAATCACTTTCTATGCACACTTTAATAAAATATAGTTGTGATACTATGTATATAAAATTTTATATGCCACTTGCACTTAACATTATAACAGAAGTATTTCCCATTGTCAAAATCTCTCATAAGTGCTATAAACTTTAATTACAAAAGTAATAACTGCTTATCATTAAAAAAAACAAAAACAATATAGAAGTGAGATATAAAATGAAATTCTTTTTTGGCACCCCTTCACTAGAATCCTATTGAATAACTCCGATAATTCACCTTTTTCTATATGTAAGCATCCTTCAATAAGCTATTTTAAAAATAAAAATAGATCATATAATACACTGGCACCTATTAAGTTACTCAGCATATTGTAAACACCCTTGCATGTTAATCTATACATATCTGTTTATTCTTTATAATGATTGTCTACTATTTCACATGATGACTGGACTCATAGTTCCCTGTTGATGGACATTTTTTGTCACAACTTTTCACTATTACAACTTTGTAGTCAACATTGTTATGTACATATCTTTGTGTATATTTGTATTTCTGTAGAATTAAATACTAAAAATGAAACTGTTAGGTCTAAGGATATAAGCTATTTTTAAAGGCCTCATAATATTCTATTGACTAAATATGTCATTCTCCTATTATGGAACATTTACTTGGGTTACTTCCAATTTTTATTTTTTTAATATTAATAAGGAAGAAATTTCAGTGAGGGAAATGGTACATACCTGACTTAAGAGAGTGCTGACTGAAGGAGATTGACAGACTTAAAAAGGTTGTCACATACAGTACACAGCTAAAATGTATTTTTTAAAAAACTCAAAACGTTTTCTTTGCCGTCTTTAGGTTTCCTACACAAGGGTAAAATACCCAGATTGAACTCTACGTTGAACTCAGCTAGTCAGAACCAATAAAGTATACGAAGAAGACTTAATTATGTCCAGTCTGCAATATATAGTTTTCTTTTCTCATTTCTCATTTTTCCTTGATTTAACCTATTAGGTGACTCTCTTACATGAAAGAAAAAAAATTGCAAAATAACAAATCAAATGTTTCTGACTCCTTGGCTGACATTTATGTATGGAGGTTTCATTAATACACTGTCTTTCTGGGTCCTAGCATGAGAATCAAACACATGGTCTGAAAGTGTACTTTTTCTGAGACTTAGACCCTTTCCTGAACAATATGGCAAAACCAGCCTGCTCCTGGTTCTGATTTTGACTGAGCACATGGACAACAGTTTACACACAGATGGCAGCAGTGGAGGAAATGGGTTTTGATTTTATGATTTCTGCTGGATAATAGTACCCTGGTCAGGTGGCAGCTGCAGGGAATTTGGAATCTTGTTTCCTTATTGGTGTGTTCTGTTTATGTTTGTTTTTAAATGTACTGATATGAACTCCTTTACTCTAATAACCAGAGATTACTTCCTCCATTCAAAACTTAGGTTTTTTTTCATGTTTACTTATTATGGGCCCAATACCTGCCAATATCTACAAAAATCAAATCCTTACACCAAAGATGAAAGGAAATAATATCTGTAACATTCAAAGGTCAGCTTTCTTCAATTTCTCCAAATGTATTAGTAACTGCAAATTAATGTTACTTTAGAATTCTAAAGCTAAAGATAGTAAAGAAACTTAAGTTAGACAAGCAAGAAAAAGAATGGTTTTCAAAGGCTGAACAAAACAGTACTAAATAGTTTTCCAAACCTTAAGCAAGTTTAGTCTTTTAAAAACTAATAGAGAGGATTTTTATGACAGTGAAACTATTCTGCATGATTCTAGTGCACAATGGTGAATAATGGACATGGATATTTTTGTCTAA